GTTTTGTTTCATTTTGTTGAGCTCTCTGTCCACACCATAAAAGCTTTATTTGCTACAGGCCATGTCGTCTTAAACCATATCCAGAGTATAATTATGTTTCACATTTAAGTCTGTGACCCATTCTGAGTTAATTTTTGTATAAGATGGGAGGCTTTGCTTAGGGTTCTTCCTCTCCTCTCTCCCCGCCCCCAAGGATGCCTAATTTGTACCATTTGTGGAGAAGATTATTCTTCCTCCACTGAATTGCTTTTGCAATTTGAAAGGCCTATTTTTCTTCAACCCTGAAAGACTGGGGGAGTTCCATTCTGCCCCTGAGAGGATTTGAGCTTAGCATTCCTCCCCATGTGGGTTTGAAATCTTCTATGTGTCTTGATGGGTTGAGATCATGAGGATTCTACCCTTTAGTACCAGGAGACTATTGGGGAATTCTCTTTGCCTTTTAGTTTTCATCTCAGTCTAGTAACTACTCCTTGGGGGGAAAGGCCATTTTGGGGCACATCCAACTTCCAATCCATTATACCAGACCCTCATGGCCACCCCAAAAGCACTTCCCATGGATTCCCTTTGACTGGACTAAGCCAATCAGCCTGCACCCAGAACAGAAAGATTTCTCCGGGGTAGAAGATGATGTGCTCATCAGCTCACACATGAGGGGCTCTTTTCTCTCTGAAATTTTAGTTCATCTACTTCTTCTTGTTTCTATGTTCAAGAAGGAGGGCTTAAACATGTAATCGTATCATGCTCTTCCCCTGCTCAAGTCTACTCAGTGGATTCCTAATGCACATGAAATCAAGTCTAAGTTTCTTAATACGGTTAAAAGGCCCTGAGTAATCTTTTCCCCTCATTTTGTTGACCTTGATTCAGTCACACCGATTTCCTTGCTATTCCTAAAAAAAAGAAAAAAAAAGATTTTATTTTCAAGCAATCTCTACACTCAATGTGGGGCTTGAACTCACAACTCCGAGATCAAGAATTGGGCGCTCCATAATTCCTTCAGCTTTCACCTAGCACTTCAGCCACTGTATCATACTTTCCTTAAAGGTGTATAAAGTATTGTTTTATTGTGAAGTAAAAGTATAAAAACTAAAGACGTTCATAATTCAAAACCTAATTCCATAGCTGCTGCATTCTATGACTAATGTTAACCAGATACCATCTCTACTATTGGTTAAGCTATTTCAATGTAACTATTAATTCTTAATCAGTAATTGTTCACTTATTTTCAAACTGCAAAAAACCCAGAGAATAGTTTCATTTCAATGTAGTTTTCACTGAAGTGTAACATCAATATGATTCCCTTTTTACTGTTAAATTAAAAATAATGGAAGTTCTAATGAGGACTTAATATGAGCAACTTTTATCATATCATAAATATTTTTTTGATTAAAAAAAAAGAGAATTGAGCGCTCCATGGACTGAGCCAGCCAGGCACTCCAATATTATCTCCATATAAAGTTTTTTTTTTAATTTATTTCTGAGAGAGAGGGAGACAGTGTGAGCAGGGGAGGGTCAGAGAGGGAGACACAGAATCTGAAGTAGGCTCCAGGCTCTGAGCTGTCAGCATAGAGCCTGACGCGGGGCTCGAACCCACGAATCACGAGATCATGACCTGAGCCGAAGTCTGGCGCTTAACCGACTGAGCCACCCAGGCGCCCCTCCATATAAAGTTTTTCTGACACCCCACTCAAAGTTAGAAGACTCTAAACTAGAGCTCTGGCTCTTTGCCACAGCATCCTGGTTCTTTCCCTTACTGTACATACTGTATACTCTTTTTAGGCTGCTTACTTACTTTTTGTGTGTCTCCCGCAACTAAAATATGAGCTCTGTGAGCCCAGGGACCTTGTCTGTCTTGTGCACTCCTGAATCCCCAGCAAACAAAACAGCTCCTGGCACATACAGGTATTGTAAATATTTATCACATGGAAAAATGAAGCACTTGAATGCAGTCTTTATGACCCTAAAACTTGAGCCCCTTCTTCTACATCCTGCTCCCAGGGAAGAGTTAGTAGTGGTGGGAAGGGAACTGACTCAGAGTTGAGCAGTGACTCTGGTAGTGCAATTAGGCAACTTCTTTCCTGTCTCCCAGCCGCAGTTTATCCATTTGTTCTCAGCTATGGTGCTCTGAGCCACAGGGACTTTGCCATGTAGAGAAACAGAAGCAGATCTTTCTCTGTCCAGCAGGTGGGGCAATTCGCTTTCCTATTTTTTTGTTTTCTCTGCGCAGGACGTGCCTGTCTCGATCTCTGGGTCTGAGTGATCTCTGGTACCTCCTCATCAAAATGCAGTCTACTATCACCCACCACCACCAGAAACCACCCCGTGAAGTGCTTCTTTTTTGTCACACATTTAAATTTCTTAGATTCTCATTTATTTGGTTTAACTTTTTAAGAAACTTTTCATTTCAGTTTTAATTTAGGTTTATAGAAATATTAAACAGACTCCATGCCTATTATTTCCCCTGTTATTAACATCTTACACTTATTGGTACACTTGTCACAATTAATGAGGCTATACGGATACATTATTATTAACTAAGGTCCCTACTTTATTCAGATTTCTCTTTTTTTTAAACCTCTGTTCCTTTTCTGTTCCAGGAGCCTATCCAGACTATCACTGCGTATTTCATTGTCATTTTTCTTAGGCTCCTTTCAGCTGTTTACAGCTTCTCAGACTTTTCTTTCCTTTTTGATGACAACCAGGGAGGCTTTTAGATGGGTTCCAGTGTGTCTTGAGCTTATATGTTCACTGAAGATTCGAAGCTGAGAGCTACAACCATTTGCCTTCTGGGGAACTCAGGAATAAGTTTTTGTGGTAGAAGTTGGTAACTTTCTACTCAGATCCTTGGGCCAATCTTCAGATATGGTTCCTCTCAAGCAAATATTTCTGGTGTGTCTGCTACGTGCTCAGCCCCGTGCCGAGCCAGCAGGGGAGTTGAGCTAAGACAGGGTCCCCCCGGGGCTTACGGTTCACTTCGTCTGTCCTGGTTGGAGAACAGATGGACAGGAAGGCAGAGGGCAAGGCTTTATCCCTGTTTCATCCAAGGACGCATCCAAGGTGGAAAAAGGGTAACAGGTCCCTGGAATGTCTTCCTCCTTGAGGGACCCTCTCAAGGGCATGGCCCTGGAGCTGGAGGATTTCGAATGAGACAGAATTTAGGCGATTCTCAGTGTCATGATCTCAGCTACTGGAGCCCAGTCCCATTATTTCACTGGGGGAAGATTGGAGTTTCCTTCCTCTCCTTGAGAAAGAAACTTCTCTGAGACTTGGTGGCCACCAGAGCCTTCTAATTCATTCAAATAACTTAAGTCTGTTGTGTGCTCCTCAGCTTAGAAAGACCCAATCAGATTTTAGCAGCATCTTTGAGGGGGGGTCCCCTTTTTTTTCAGTCCTATTTTACCTGTGAAGAAACCGGGGCTCATGTCTGACGTGGCAAATAGTGGTTGGACATGGATTTGAATCCAGGTCTTTCTGTCTCCTAATTTTCACTCTCCTGCCTCCCACCAAGTTCTTCTATTGACCCAGTCAGTTTTATTCTGCTCAGAAGCTGAGGATCTGCTCTAGCTTGCAGACCTGGAGAAGGAGAAGAGGCACCTATTCCAGCCCAAGCCTGACTTTCTCAGGTCATCTGGGATGGGACAATCACTATATCATATAGTGATTCCCTGTCTTTGGGAAGAGAGAGAGAAGAGCCCAGAACTCAGATGTAGATGATGTGGGTATGTTGTCCACCCATGCCTCCCGCCAACTAACTATAGGAGCAAATCACTTTTTACCTGAGGCCATCAGTTTCTTCATCTGTGAAATGGTGCTAAAATGCCTGTCTAGAGGCTTTATTGTAGTGAATAGGGGATTTAAAAGTGTCTGCTGAAGCCCCATGCAGAGATTACGCAGATGGTCATCATTTCCAGTTAGAAGATCCAGGGCCCCAAAGGGAAGTCGCTAAAGGAAGAGACTCATGTCTGAAATTTCAAACCCATGTCCAGGAAAATGCCAAGCTGAATCCCCCACCCATCTCCAGGCCCTTCTGCTCCCTCTCACATTGTGAGCACTGCAAGCCTAGAGCAGGGAGACTCCAATACCCTCTAATATTTTATGCCAAAGCATCTTGAAGGCAAGTGTTTCGGCCCCAAACTCTTTAGCTTCTAGCACAGAGTGGGCCACACACTGTATGCCCATGTTGAGTGAAGGAACGAATGAGCGTGTAAGTGACTGAAGAAACACCAGGGCTGCCAACAGATCCAGGCTTTATCTCCTGACCCCCAGACTCCCCTTCTCAGATCCCCACCCTTCCCCTTCCACAGCAGTACATGACACCAGTGGTACCAAAAAGGCAAACTGGACTTTATTATAAAGTTGGCTACAAAGTCACCGCAGCACCACGAAGTGGCCACCTGGGCAGGCCCAGGCAGTCTGGCAGCCGGGTGAGTCCCGCACCAGGTACACGCACTCGTGCAAGCACACGTGTGACAGCGGCAGGTCTGCCTTCCTCCATCGGAAAGGAACGTAGCTGTCTCTTCGCGCCCCCCACCCCAGGCGCGGGGCGCAAAAGTCACAAGAAGGGCCGCCAGGGCGGCAGAGTCCATCGGAATTGAAATCCCGTTACTGGTGTGTAGAGAATTCTACGTGGGTGTCAAGAGCCCCTCGGGGCACAGGCTGGCCCAGGTGGGCGCTGCCTTTCCCCCACCAAGGCCCAGGGGTGGCTTGGCCCCCAGGAGTGGAGAACTGGCCCAGGCCCATGGGGTAGTGTGGGGAGTGGGGAAGTGAGACTCCCCCATTCTCCGCTTGAAAATCCCATTCAAGGAAACTCACTACGAGTGAATACAGATTGAAATGGAAACTGAGAGTGCTTGAAGTCTCTAAATTTTAAAAAGAAGCTCCCCTCCCTTGCCCTCCCACCTCCCCCCCCCAAATCCTGCAGGGCCTAGGGAATCAGATATATCCCCCTCTGGCCCCCAGAATCCCCCCAACTGTCCCGGGGGGGGTGGAGAGCGGCTCCACGTCTTGATGACAATATGCCATACTTGACGACGTTAAGTCACAGACTTATTCAAAACGTTGGTTCCCCTCCACTTCCATCTGCAGAGAGAGAGAGAGAGAGAGAGGGAGATGACAGTCAGTAAGGCCAGTAGGAAAGATAGGTTGAGGATGTGGTGCACTGTTAGCACATAGTATGGGCTTCAAATATGTTGGTCCAATGACTGAGTGATCACCAGAGGCTCAGCAAGATAAGGAAGCAATTTGGGTGCGTGGAGTGAAACTATAACTGTAGTTTTGGAAAGGATGGAGTCATGAGCAAGGAGCCTCCAATGAGCCAGGGACTAAGTTTCACTTTCTCCCTTTCCCAAACTTCTACAAACCCTTGCTCTGTATTCTCTTTAAGGGGTAAGAATACTGAGATAAACTCTAATCCCTCTCCCATCAGTTTGTTATCTGACCTTAGGCCAAGTTTCTTCCTTTAACTCTGGGACCTTGGTTTTCTTCATCTGTAAAATGGGTGGTGATAGCTGATCTAGGCCCCTCACAGAATTAAGAAGCACAAACCATTACCAAGGATCCTTTTGCATTTTATACTGCACCTGTGACCCCTGCCTTCTAGGCCTACTTGTCCAGAACATCTATGCTAAATTTTTCACTAGTTCTTAGCCTCACTGCTACCCCGGGCAGCAGGTGTTGTTATCCTGTTAATAAAATTCAGGCACAGAAAGGGGAATTTACTCATCTAATTCCACTAGCATCTCATTGGCAGGACAGGGACTTGAGTTTCTGAACATTTTGGTTGGACTTACCTTCATGGAAGCTGTCTTGAACTTGGCTCTGGAGTTGATGCAACTCATCAGTAAACCCATCGTAGGGGAATGCTGAGACACCTGTCTCAAAGGCGGTTTCATATGTGGCCAGGTCCTCCAGGAAGCTGTGGTCTTCTGGGGACAGGTTGTTGCAAGGCGATGAGGCCCCTCCTGGGACCGCTGCCTCAGGATCCCCTGAACTCCATTCCCCATTGGGGTCTGGGGTAGAGAGATCCATGAATATGTCTTCCACGGGCGTCTCTTCCAGGAATATGTTATCAGGGTCAGCCAGGAAATCCAGCTCCTGGCATTTCCAGGGTTTCAGGTCCAGGCTGAGCACAGGGGGACCAGCCCCCGGCAGAGACAGGTTGGAGTCCAGGGGCTCCAGACCTCCAAGTGGCTCCAGCCCGCCTGTGCCAGCCTCAGCTGAGAAGGGCCTGTCCATGCCCTGAGCCAACTGGCTGATCTGCTGGATGAGGCGGTCTATCTCATTCTGCTCCTTCTCAGAGTAGTGGAAGAAACTCTGTTTGACTGGAGAGGCCTCGGGTGTAAGCAGGCCTTCGGGCACTAGAGGGACGTCCACAGAGAGGGGGCCCCGCAGCTGGGCTAGGGCCAGGAGCGTGCAGTCCCCATTACCAGGGCTGCTAGGACTTGGGGGCAACTTCTCATAGAGAAAACTGCATCCCTCCTGGGTGAAGTAAGTCTTGGTGGGATTGGGGCTCAGTTGCTCTGGGAAGGTTTGGCTGGGGCTGTTGAGGTGTGCTTGGAATGCGGTGCTGGGAGGAGTCAGCTGTTCATGGGCAGGACTGCCCAGAGGCTCTGGGAAGGTGGCAGTGCTGGGAAGCAGCTGGTCTGGGAAGGCAGAGGTGCAGGGAGTCAGTTGATCTTCATAGCTTCTGGCTGAGCTTTCGGTCAGCTGGCCTTGAAGTGGGCTCATCAGCGGATCTGGGAAGGTTGCACTGCTTGGCGTCAGTTGATCAGAAAAGGTGGCAGTGCTTGGAGTCAGCTGTTCTTGGAGAGAGCTGGTTGGAGTGGACAAGTGGGTCTGGAAGGGCTCGTGGAGGCTGAAGAGGAAGGCACAGCCTCCTGGCTGGTGGGGTGTGTAGGGTGGAGTACACACAAGATCCTTGCTCAGGTCTGCTTGAAGGGAAGGCTCAGGGCCAGATGGGAATGCCAGGTAACTAAAGCCCAACTCTTTTTGGGTTTGAGGAAGCTCTTCTGATGTTGAGGCAGCACCCAGCTCTGGGGCACTAGGGAAACTGGTGCTTCTGGGAGCCCCCAAGGCTGGGGGAAAATGTGGGTTGGTGCTGGAGCACTGCTCTTGGGAAAGGATGCTCTCTGGGAATGAGGGCAGCATGGTTGGGGTGCCCAGAACATAGGCTGCCTGGGTGTTTTCAGAGTTCAGCTGCTGGCGGAGGCTCCAGGCTTCTGTGTCACTGGAGAGGAGAGAAGAGGTAGATGGTAAGGGTCTGGTGGTCTTTCCCAGAGAAGTTCCTGAGTTTTAACTCCTCCATGCCCACCTCAGTTGCCCTCTAAGCCCCTGACTTGCAACTCACCTGATTGGGTAGTTATTAGCAGTAATGGGGCCCTCTGGACCTTCTGAGTATAACAGGCAATAAATCCATGCCCAGCCTCCAGGCTTGGCCTGCAGTCTCACCACCATCTCTGCCTGAATATCTCCACTCTCAGCCACTGAAGGAAAAGAAGAGATGCAGAGTTAGGATATACAGCAGGTGACACCACCTAAACTCCCCTCTTATTGACCTTTCCACTGAATGGGGGTATCCATGACATCTCCATTTCTGACTACCCTCACCTGCACCACTCAGCTCCCCACGTTGACCTCACCACTTGGAGTCCCCCAGTCCTGATTCTATTCTCACTTTGACTCCTCACCCTAATGTTCACTCTATAATATCCAAAATTGTTGCCCTCTATTATCTCCCCAGCATCAGCCTTGACCACAGGCCTTCTTGGTTGGGTCTCCCATGACCTTTCCCAGCACCCTGTCTTGTCCCCAGCCTCTCTGGACACTCACACAGGCGGTAGTGTTGAGCAGAAGCGTGGGCCAGGTCCTCAGGGTGCAGCAGTCCATACCATGATTTACAGAGCAGTTCACTGCGCTCAAAGCCCAGGTAGATTAGGACACTGGGAAGGTGGAAAGGGTGTGGTCAGCTTTCTGTTTTCCCTGCTTTATACCCAGGCATCTCACTCCCTCCCAGATGCTCTGCCCCCTTTCACCCCATCCTCCCTGGTCCTGACTCCAGAATCTAGGGTCCCCTCATCTCTGGCTTGCTTTCCTCCTGGAGTCTGAATGCTCTGGGCTTACCTCTCGGAGATGTCCAGTAGGGCCAGGTCCTTAGCATGACGGCTCTGGAACATGGCCAGAAAGAGTGAGGCAGGGCCAGGGCCAGGGCCAGGGCGAGGTCTTGGCTCCAGTGGAGCACAGAAAGCTGTGAAAACAGGGTTTCCTGCCCAGTAGGCTCCAGGTGGATGAGCGTGGAATCGGCCTCGAATAAGCACCAGTTTGTTGCCTGCACTCTGGCGCCTGAGGGACTTGGAAGTGTTGAATCGACAGCGGAAGAGGCGATCTAGGTAAATGAAGAGAAAAGCTGATAAGAGGGTGGATTGTTGAGAGAAATAGCAGGTGGGGAGGAGCAGGGAAGCAGGAAGGAGTTTTGATTAAGAGAGGGAGAGAGGAGTTCTTACCGGTGTCCAGGGCAGAAGGCAGGGTGAGTTGCTGGCGCACAGTTAGGTGGTCAGCTGGGTCAATGATGTCGTAGATACTGTCACCCTGGGCAACCAGGTCCACCTGGAGAAAGGTGAAGAAGAAATGAAATGACATTTAGTGAAGGCAGCAGCAAGAGTAAATCCTTAGCACATAGCATCTGGCAGTATATAACCTCTCAAGCCTCAGTAATTCTCAGATTCTCAAAAATGGAAAGCTCATTGTGTCCCATTATGTGCCCTAGCCCAAGCTAAAAGGACTCTTAGGACTCACCATGGAGTGTCCCAGATGTTCGCTCACACTCTCAGACAGATACAGTAGCTTCCCCTCAGCTGTGAACACAAGTAGAAATCCAGGTAGTGCCGCCACTATGTCTTCAAGCTCTTGAGATGAGAGAAGCCCTGTGGGGCCCGCCAGAGGCGTGCCTGCAGGATGAGAAGATACAGTGGGTCAGGAGTAAAACTGGGAAGCAAAGCAAAAGTAAGGAAGACAGGGACTGAGTTGCAGAAAATCCAGAGGAATTTCTCATGAGCCTGCCTCTGTACACACCTGTTGACCCACTGCCCACAGCTCTTGCCCAGGGAACCTGTTGCTGGATCTCCCTAGCCAGCGAGCCCTTTGACTTCTACGTCGGGCTGGGTCTTTTTGGCTCTGAATTTCAGACCCTCGGACAGCGCTCAAAAGCCAACCGGTAGTTCAGCACCGCGGGCAGCGCCTCTCAACCCGGTGGTGCTGTCAGCACCGCGGACAGCGCTTCAAAGGCTGCCGAAGAGCCCGTTCAACATGGGGAACAGTGGCCGCGGTTGCCCAGGTTTGGGTGACTCCATCCCTGCAACTTCCCGGGCTTCCCTCCCCGGGTTCCTGGAGTGCCTCTACGCTGTGGACACTGGGGCCATTCTGTCCTGGATCTCTTCTTCCCATAAGTCAGGCACCAGGGACACTATCCAGGCTCTTACCCTCATCCAGAATTAGGGTGAGGTCTGAACAGCGCTCAGGAGGAAAAGTAGGAAGACCTGAGTTCCCTAAGTCCCTTCCCTCCCCAGCTTGCCGCCACGCTGTCCTAGACATGCATCAGTCCCCGCGGGTTCCTTCAGCTCCACTGTCCCCGGTGCCCGCCAGCTCCGGTCTCTGGCAGCCCCATTTTGCTCACCTCCAGCGAAGAAGACGCCTTTGCGAGTGTAGATGCAAGCAAGACTCATAATGTGCAGGTAGGACAGCCGGACCTTATCCGCTTCAGCCAGAGGCAGGAGCTCCTTGAGGTTCCGGATCTCAGCGTTGATCTGGTCGCGGCGCGCCTTGGAGGCGCCCTTGGTGGAGCGGTACATGACTAGCGGCTGCAGGGCTCCAGCTCGGGTGCTCCGAACACCTGCGTTCCCGTCCCGACGCACCGGTGGCTTCCTCCTCGCTTCCCCGGCTCTCGCTCAGGCTCTCTCTCTCTCTCTCTCCTCTCCTGGGCTCCGCTCGGCTGCGCTGCCCCCCTCGACTGCCTCGTCCCGCCTTATATAGCTCCTGCTAGGCGTGGGGGGCTCGCTTTAGAGAAAGGGGGGGCGGTAAAGCAGGAGGCTGGGCTAAGCAAGCTGCAGCGGGAGCCACTGGCTGGGGAGGGGGGAGCGCTCCTCCTCCCTCCCGGGCTCCCGACGTCATCCCATGACGTAGAATGAGAGCGGGAGGGGGGACGGGGGGAGGGGGAGAAATGAGGCTGCGGAGGGGGCCGCGGCTGGCGGCAGCTGAGCCAAGAAGCGGGCGCTGCGTTAGGAAGGCCTGAAAGAGGGTGCAGGGACCCAGAGGTCCGAATGTGCTCAGCTGAGGGAAGGGACAGGGCAAAGGTTAAGACGGTCTGACGCCCCTGGCAGGAGAGTCTGTAGAGCGGAGGGAGGGGTTGGTTCCAACATCGATTTTTCTAAGGAGATAAGGAAATGGGGGAGGGGGAGGGTAGCCTACAAATTGTTGCTTGCTATTTGCCAGGCAAAGGTCATGTTCACATTGGGGGGCGGGGGGAGAAAGACCCTCCTTGGCCTCTGAAGGATAGGTCGCAGCTGGGGCTTCTCTCTAGGGATTACTCAATCTGGGATTCCCTTAGTCACTTTCAAAGAACAAATCTCCCCCCTTCCCCCGCCGCCCCCCCGCCCCCGCTTTCCAAACCTGGGCTTGGCATTTAGCAAGGGGCATTATATGGAAGTCGAAGTCTCTAGGGTGGGGTGGAAAGGGGCTCCTGAGGGAGACGGACCAGCTGAATTTGGCCTCGGTTCTAATTTCCCACAGCCAAGAATAGGAACAGCGACACCAACGCGGTAGTCTGCAGTGAGTCTCTGTTCCCCTGTCATCTAATTAACTGCAACCACTAACAGGGGAAACTGAGGCATGGTCCCAGGGCTTGGTGAGGATCTGGGTCTGTGTCTAAGAATCCCTTCCCCCACCCCGTTGCCCGCCCCCAAAGCGAGCGGCTCCCCCCGCCCGACTGAGAGCTCGGTGTCCCGGCGGGCCGGGGGCGGGGGCGGGGCCGGGGGAATCCCAGCTCCATATTAGGACAGGAATCCTCCGGCGGCTGCCGCGGCGGCGGCGGGCGGGGCCCGGCTGCCTCCGCACCGCTCCGGAGGGCTCCCCCCGTCTCCGGCGGGGAAGATGAGGAAGCAGCAGAGAAAAGAGGGGGGCGTACTGAACCCTCCGAGATCCCCGCTTCTGCCGGGAGCCCCTCGACTCCGTCACGTTGTCCTCCGTGCCCCCTCCAACCCCCTCCCCACCCTCGGCGCTAGGACTCCTCGTTCTGTCTCTCAGCCTTCAACTCTCAGCCCCGACTAGTTCTGATCTCATCGCCTGCTTGGTGGTCTGTCTTAGCTTTGGGCGCCCTCTCCCCACTGCCCCCACCGCAAAAAACGTTCCCCTTCTGCTCTCCCGAGACTCTTGCATTCTCCATCAGTTCTGCCTCCATATCATGTCACCTTTGTCCTCTCTGCTTCTTTCTTTTTTCTCTTTTCAGCACAGGTGATCGCTCTCTACAGGGGTTGAGGGGTACCTATCCTTCCCCCGGCATCCCATAAAAGGAGAAGGAAGTGGGCTAGGAGACATTTCATGTGAAATCTTATTTGGTGCAGTAGGGGTCTGGGTGAAATCATTTGAGAGGCTGGAAATGAGACCTCTCAAAAATTGGGGAAGAGGGACTGGCCTGATTGGAGAAAGTCACATAGGAAGGGCGGGGATAAACTTTGACACCAAGAAGCAAAATTTGGGATCAAAGAACCCCTCATTCCCATGGGAAAGGGTGGTGGCAAGGGAGGCAGAGTGGGAGCAGAAGACAGCCAAGGAGAAGGGTATCTGGGCATCCGATCCTGACCTCTTGTGCCATTTGGCAGAGGTTGGGCCATCTCCATCAACCATCCTGAGATGAAGGGAAGAGGTGGGGGAGGGGGGGAATGTCTGTCTGCCACTCTCTCTAACCCTATTTATCTGGATTACAGAGACATGGTTCCTTCAGGAAGCGTGTCTCTGTTCCTCTTTCATCTCCATCTGACCCCTGATGTATCCACCTCCCTCTAGCTTCCGATCTTTGGACCCCTTGATCTCGAGCCCTTGATCTTTGGACCCCATTCTTGTATGAAAATCGAGGGCAGTATTCCTGTTTTTTTCACCCATTGATGCTTTAGCCTTGGCATGGCGACAATCTTAGTGTCCCTCTCTATGATAAGAACTATTTGTTGGTTGGATCCAGCCAGTCTCCAGTAAACTGAATAGATCTGCATTTAAAGAATGGGCATTGACCTCTGTCCATGGTTCTGAAAAAAAAAATCATCCCTGAAGTCATTTGGCCATGGTCTGCCTGGACATCAAAATAGACCTTGAGTCCACACAGGCCTCAGAGCGAGGTCCCCATTAGCTGTCCCCTTCTCCTCTGAAGATGAATATGGGAGGGGGCTTTAGGGGCCCAAGGTGGCCAAGCTAGAGGAGTAAAATAAGCATGTGAGGAGAACGAGCCAAGGGAAGAATCCTTGCATTTTTCCAGAATGGGCTGGGGGAAGGCCTTCTGGAAAGAAAGAAGGGTCTAGAAAGGGACAAGGGAGGGGGAAGATAAGGGCTTATCCTAGTTCACCCACTCTAATTCAAGTTGAGAAGCTCTATATGCCCCAATGTCTCCTCTCCCTGGGCCAGCTCCCACTCCCCTTGCCTCCCACCTCCGTGAAGCTATTTTTAACTGTGCAGAACCAAAAATAGCTTGGCAGCAGCTTCAGGCCGTGGGAGAGGAGCTATTTATATCACCAGTGACGGTTCCAAAATAGCAAGCAGGAGGAGGGGGGCGGCTGGCACGCTAGAGAGCTCCTGGCCGCTGCTAAAAATACTGGCAGTGTGAGTCATCCTGGCCCGGCTGAGTCACCCCACTCTCCCCCCGAAACGGCAGGCAGCAGCAGCAGCAGAACAGAACAGGCTAAGAATTGGAAGCTTGAGATGGGGGAGGTATCAGAGCCCATCTTGTATGGGAAAGTGGGCAAGAAGTGAATTGATTCAAGAGGGGCTTTGGGGTGAATGTGTAGAAGGAATGAGGGGGGGCAGGAGCCATCCAGCTAAACCCACTGGGTGAGCCTGCATTATTCTCAGCCATACACTGCTGTTTAGGGACGCATGGGCAATTGAAGGGAGGGAGCCAGACTGAGGGTGTGCTTGTGTCTGTCTGTCCATTTGACTGTGACTATATTTGTATGTCTGTGTCTGTCTGCATGTATCTTTGTGTTTGTATCCTTGTGTATTTATGCATTTGCTTGCATCTGTGTCTGCCTTTGTAAAAGAAAATGTCTACCATTTCCTGCGTTATGTGTAGTTCCATGTTTGTCTCTGTACGTGTTCATATGTTCGCAGCTTTCTGTGCCTCCTTGTCTCTGTGTGTGTTTGTGTCTATATGTCAATCTGTCCTGTGCCTTTTTTTTCCTCAGCATCCAATGGAGAATGTGAATTTGCATGCATTCTCGGCCTCAGTGCACCTTCTGCTGCCCTCTCTGATATCACTTCTTGGGCTCTTGCACCACCTATCCCTTACTCACCTCTCTCCTCCCAGCATCATCCTTTCTTTCCAACACTTGGCCCCCAACCATTTGTGAAAGTGTGTGTTGCATGCAATCTCTAGTAAAAAGGTGGAGGAAGGGAGCCCCATATGACCTCTCCCTTTTCTCTTGAATTATCCTGAATCCTCCCTGGCCTGCAGGAGTAAGTGGTTTTCCATCGCTCCATATTTGGGGCGCTGAGGGAAGAGAAGGGCTTTCTTTAGTTCTAAAAAAAATTCCTGGTGTGGGCACAGGCATGCGCAGCGCGCACACACACACATACACACACAACTGAGAGAGAGAATGAGAAGAGAAAAAAAAATATCAAGGTCCCTTCTTTACTGAGACAAGCTCTTTGCATCTGTTGCCATGGCAACCCGCCCACTCCTTCCCCGAAAAATCACCAAGAAGAGGTGATGGCATTGAAGACGGATTGGCTGATTTTTTCTTTATTATTTTTTCTGAAAAAGGTCTTTTTATAGCAAGAACAGGCCGTGAGATCCCTTGCTCCTGTCTTGCATAGCTTTATTGAGGACCTGGAGAGACATCACCCCTCAACCACTCTCAAAGAGAAGGTGTATCTTTTCCAGAAATTTTGGGGATGATGGCCTCCTGAGAGGGAAATGGAAAGTGATGGGGAGGGAGGTGTCTGCTTCTTTAGAACAGTATGGAGACGCCTGGTTAAGCCTGCTTTTCTGGATATTTGGGGCAAGGATCTTTCTTGACAGAGGGCTGTTGAAGTGTATTCTGTCTTGATCTGGACAAATGTGCTTATGATACCAGGAGAAAGAGAGAGGAAAGGGAGGAGGGGAGAGAGTGAGAGGAGAGAGTGGGGGGGAGGTAGAGAATCACTTTATAGGTCTTCAGAGCATATGACAAGATGCCAAAGGATCAAGATCTCAGTGATGGTCAGACCAGACAGGTGGACAAGATGGTTCAAGAAACATCCATTAATGCAACTGATGGTGCTGTGAGTCCCCACCAGACCACAGTTGTGGCTACTTGACGTGCACCCCAGCTTTCCTGGTACTTAGGTAAATGATCTTGGGAGCACTGAATCTCACCTTTCCCAACTCTACAGCCTGGCCACCAGCCACTGCAGCCACATCATTTTCTCAAGTGAACCGTAGTCTCCTGCCAAATGACTGGATGGTGGAAAAGAAGGGATTCCTCGTTTCCTCCTGTGCTTGGTTTGCTACAGAAATGGGGTCACTTGAGGCTGGAGGTTGGAAAGCCAGACTAAGAACCTGACTCTAGAGAGAAACATGTCTTTCTTCCAGCAGGATGCTGCCACCCTT